GAGGTTGGGGGGGGTGGGTGGGGAGAGGAGGGGGAGGAAAAGATAAATATTTGTAAGTTTTTTTTCAACATTTTCAATTTTAAAAAAAAGAATTTACAGTAATAGGCCAAAAACTAGGAAAGAACATTAAAATGGAAAATACCTAAGCTAAAATTCCACTTACAACACAAGCTCAGAACCAGAGATTTCTAATTGCCATTGCAGAATTTGGCCACAGTGTTGATCATTTAATAGGAAGCAATTAATTGCTTCCTGGAATCACTCTGAACAAATTTTGATTAGAGGAGAGGTAAACCACATCCTCCAAGGATAATAGAACATTTCAAAACTTCATATGTAATTTTTGAAATTTCAGATGTGAATCTATGCATTAAATCTCTGGATATATTGTTCCATTTCTTGCTTAAGACCATTAAAGGCAGAGCACCTCAGCATTCCCTCTCCCTCCCCAAAAGTGGTGCTATAGCTGCAGCAATAATTCATATTCATTTATTATGTCCTGAATGTGCAGAAGTAGATCCAGGTTTTGGAAGCCAGGGAAGAGAATCTAGATTACAAATATCTTGTTGGTTTAATTCATTTTCTGTGTGAATGTTGTTCTGCACCATTTAGTTACACTATTTCCCCAAATGCTATAGGTAGTTCTCTGCTATACTATTGTGTTAAATGGATCATTATCTACTGATAAATAGATATTTATTTGCTATATCACACCATATCACACCATATATCACACCATAGCTACTTACACAAACTCTTTTCAGTAGTTAAATGTGCATGCTGAATAACAAGGATGTAGTTGTATAATAATTTTTCTACTAGTTTTTTGATACCTTTGGTTATTAGAAGATATTTGTACATTTGACAGTCTAGGAGGAAACAATCTACATTCACAGAATGAATTATTTAAATAAGTATTGTAGCCATTAAAAGAAAAGATTATCTACCTTAATTTCATATAGCAAAAAAGGAGGAATTAGAGCAAGACTGCCAATGGTTTTGAGCAACATTCAGTACCAAGAGCTATTTTTATCAGATTTTTATCAAATTCTTTTCTGTGAATATTTGTTTTCTTTTCACCTAATAGAAGGAAGCAAAGAAGATTTGGGTGATGAAGCCATATTAGCATCATTATTTACCTAAAACTGAATCAGTTTCAAAACATTACTCTTGGGGTTTTTAATCATTTTGTTTCAAGATCATTCTGTTAGGAAATTTATCTTGCTCCCCTACTTACACCTAATTGTTGCATTCTTTTTGAAATTTCCAGAATACAATGGTCAAGAATATTTAAATATTAGAGAATTATTTTGGTTTTCTTATGGAAATGGATAAATTCAATGTATGTAGAGATTTAATCAATAATTCTGGCTTTTCTATCAGTTGCCTAATGCAAACCAGTTCGTACAGATGCATTTTCTACAAAAATGTTTTTATATGAAATTGTATCTGTCTTAAGAAACTTCACTGAGAATGTACAGTACATCTGACTAAAACGTCAGAATTCACAGAAACTCTCCTAAGGAAATTTTCATCTATATTAAAAATTATTTGTCTAACTGAGTCTACAGTATTAGAAGATAGTCACAGGTTTATCATCTCTGAGAATTATGCTGTCTTAGTTGTCACACCTAGGGCCCTTATATATCTGTCCATTGCTGGTCTCTTCTCAAATTAGCTTTATTAATTTTTATTTTGTGCTCTGCTTTCATAGACCAAAGCTTCTTGTCACTCCTACCAGTGACAAACATCAAAGCCAAATCGAGGGGGATCACCGGCAAGACAGCTTCCCACACAAAATGGCCAAAGACTGCTGACCGATCACGGGGCTTTGGGGGTCCCAATGCCAGTCCCTCTTCCCTCTTCACCAATATCCAGGGCAAGTCCAAATATGTTGCCAACCTTCCCCTCACATACAACAGCTTTCCTTCCGATCGGACATCACGGCAGCGACGGAGCATCAGCCAACCAAATGCTAAAGAGCTTGGCATCGCAAGAACCAAGCATAATGGTAGACATATTTCCATTTTCCCTGATTACTTGGGTATAGAGACAATTTCCAGCATCTCTGCTCATCCCACCAGATCTAGCAGGGTGGCCTGTTAAACAATATCTTCTTGTTAAAAACCAGGAATTGTGTTTTTTTGTTGCTGCCTTACGGAATGTCATCTCTTCAGAATTTGAGATGATCTCAGCCCTTTTAGCCTTTCATACAGCATTAAACATCTGGCTGTTCCCCAGGCATTTGGGCCAAGAGATTGTCAAGATCTGCCAGTTACTGCTGCTTTCTTATAAGTTGGCATTATTATTTGTGATCTTGGGCGTTAGGGCTTGAGTCGTTAAAATGTTGTTTTTAGCCTGGTATATGATCCAGAGATGAGAGAAGGAAACATATAAATCAAATAAATAAGCAGACAGGCATTGTTTAACAGAAGAAGGAAACATTTTTTGCCCCCCAAGTCAACATGCAGGAATAGATCATGGTTCAGAGGCCTCATAATAGTGTGGCCAAGAGCAGCAGCAGCCCGGTCATCCCTTGTCTCTTGAATACGTGCCTATCTCCTCCTCCCTACTGCAATCTGGCTCTCCCCAGTTGAGTAATCATTGGCCAGTGGGCATGTAGGAGAGAACCACTTTGGTGTAGTGGTTAAGGCGTCAGACTAGAAACCAGAAGGGCTAGAGTTCTAATCCTGCTTTAGGCACATAGAATCTGGTTCACACTGTCTTAAAAAAAGGCAAGGGAAAACCTCATTTGAAAAAAATGGAATAACTTGCCAAGAAAACTGCAGGAATCAGCCCAGGCAATGATCAAGAGTCAGGACTGACTCGAAAGCACCCAATAGGCAAGCAGGAAAGATTCGAGTTGCAATGAACCAGCCAAGGCCACTGAAACCGTTTTTCCCCCTGCTCTTGATTCTTCACAAATGTCTTAACTATCTGAAAGCACCTTCTTAATATATCTTGTGCATCTTTGATTCCTTCTTTGCTCTCCTCCAGAACATCCCCTTTTCTACCAGCCATTACATTTGCTAGTGTAGTTTCTTTTCAAACCCTGATGACTGGGACTATGGAAATGGTCATCCTAGGATATCTGTAGGCTACAGGATATATATAGAATCATATCCAAACAGGAGAACACGTTATTTTTCCATCTGTACCAGACCTTGCTCAGCTACACTGCCTGTTCCTGTTGTGCCCTATGCTGCATGTAAAGCTTTGTGAGGTGATGCATACATACATCCTTAGCTGGCATGGTTTATGAATCCCATTCCAAGCTATCTGATTTCCCTTTGGCTTAGTTTAGACAGAAATATACAGTGTATGCCTTAGTTAGATCACAGTCCTAAACCTTTCCGTTTAGAATGATTAGCAATTGTGGAACTTCCTATGCAGAGTAGGCTCCTGCTCCATCTTGATTATTTCTGTCCTGTAGAAACAGCTCCTGTGCTCCAGTCTGTGTCACTATTGGAGGCGAATGTGGTCATCTTACCCCAGGCCTGTGCTACAGGGGACGACTGCAGGTAAGTGGGAGCCATAAGCAGCTTTATTAGACTGGGAGTTCTTTTTTGTAATATATTTTTATCTGAATTTATCAGTGTAGTAAAATATACAAAACAAACTAGAACAAAGATAGAAAATAAAAAATAGAGGATGAGAGAGAGAAATAAAAAACATTTATGACCTTCTGTCCTTTATTCGATCAAGTAATAATTATTTTAAAATTTTCTCCAACTCTACATCCCTTTTTAACCTCCAAATCGTGTAATCATCAAGTCATTTTTTTTCTTCTTTAACAAAAAGTCCACATACAGTTTCATCTTTCAAAAATGTCCTTATTGTCTTTTCTTTAACCAACCTGGTCAGCTTTGCTATTTTTGGAAATTCAGTTAATTTTATACTTCAGTATTCCACTGTAGGCATTTTTTGCATACATCAGATGGGGATTCTTAAATGTCAGATTCCTAGGAAGGAAATTGTGTCATCCAGATAACTAAATATACTAATTTAGGATTTTTTCCATGAATTTTGGTTGCCATATTACCAGTGATGAATGATGGAATCGTATTTGAGTGAATACTTACAGAGAACAGCAGGAAAGTATGAAGATAAGCAAAAATTTGTGGTATATCTTTTTTTCGTTGTTATTTATTCCTGCAGGACTGGAAATATCACTTATCGCATTCCCATCAGCAAATTTACATCAGTGAACACAAATCTTACTTTGGAAATGAAGTAAGTAAGAACTTTTGGGAAAGCACAGATACTGGCAAAGAATATTGTAGAAAATGCAAAAGCTAAAACAGTTTAATAGAAAACCAGATTGAGAAAGAATTCCAAAATGATATAAATAGTTGATAATGATGTGATATCTGCTATCATTTCACAAATTGAGAGTACTATTCTCAATATAATTCATAGGAAAATAGTACTGAGTCATGAGGAAGATGGGGGACAGGTTTTTGGTGAGGCTTGACAATCAGGCACTTTTAAAATCAAATCTGGTTACCCCGTTTAAGAATCCTTCCCTTTCTCACAGGACTGAAGATTTCACAGAAAGGCAGATACTTTTTGTGGTGGTTCTTTTACCTATATTTCTATGCCATTATCTCATAATCACAGAGCCATTTGCTACAACAACCCTAAAATGGCCAGTCAGAAATTAAAGTGTCAGTGCTACTCTGGGAGCATGCCATGTATTTCATATGCTGTATTTCATTTCGTATGCTGAAGATAGAAAAATAGGCATGAGACAGAAGAAAATTTGTCTGTCGAAAGGGAAGGGCTTTGTAGCTCAGGGATAGAGCACATAATTTGTATCCTCTCCCCCCCACAAAAAAAATCAGGTTTGGTATCTGACATCTTCAGTTGGTGCTGCAAAACCTCCTTCATTATACTCCAATATTCCACTCCTGCAGATGCTATTGATTATTGTAAGCCACCTAGAGTAGCCCCATATTGAGATAGGCTGCAGATGAATTCCATAAATAAGTACTAGAAAACTACTGTCAAGACAGAATGGATAGACCACCGAGAGTTTTAGGCATATGAAACACCACATATTGTCTAATGATCCTAATCTGATGATGGGCCAGTGTTGCTACTTTAATGCAAGGCATCTTCTATATTCTTAAAAGACCATTTTGTTCCTTTGTGTACCTTACTCCACTGTGATATTTGTCTGCATAGTTAGACCTGGGAAATCAAAGTGTTTGGATCAAGGAGACTTCATACTATTGCTTGTTGGATTGTATCTAATGTATCCTGTAAAATGTTTCATAGAAAGCAAAGAGAAAATTAGAGAAATGGTTTGTCAGTTACCACTTTCAGGATTTAGATCTGTTCAAAATAACAGCAAAATGTAGCTCCCTTATTCCATGGAGCTTCAAATACTTTGCTTTCTGCTGTTGTAACACAAGAAAGACTTTCAGTCTTTTCTTCCTGTCTGCAAAACAGCAGCACCTCTGAAAAGACTCTGGAGAGATATTTCAAAGGGCGAAAGAAGAAGAGGAAAGAAGATGAGGGAATGCATCCCAATGCAACAGTGCATTTCTTCTTCCATTTCAAGTCCAAGCCTGGTATAATAGTATACATTTAGGAGTTGAGTATTTTGGTGGGTGAAAGTGCAGAGTGAGAAAGACTACTTTACAGTGAAATAAGAACATGAATTCATAGGCCAATAGACTATAAATAGTGGCATTTATATTATAATCTGTCAAGAGAAGATTGCATTGAAAATGATCTGCTCATCGTTGTTGTATTGTTTCTTTCCTCTCAGTGCTTCCTCAGCTGTATCTGGCTATCTTTGTAATCTCACATCCAATAGCCCATGTCTGCACACTGAAAATGACCTAGACAGCTTGTCTAATGCAACAGATATTCAGGTATGTTTTTTTTTTTTAAGAAAAAGATATCTCACAAAATAGGTGTTTACCTGCTGGATAATGCATTTGCATCTAGGTTTTTGTTTATAATAGAAAATCAGGTTCAATTTGTTATGTCCTTAGACCGAACTTAGTTTTGTTTGGAATAGATATTGTTGCCATAATTTCTTAAAAATCACTCTTTATTAACCTGCTTTTTTTTAAAAAAAAGACGGTAACACTGATTCCTTTCTTCTCCTTTCATTTTCCCTTCTCTTCCCCTTGTCCCTTTCAAAACAGAAACATAAGTTTGGGCACACAAACTCATCTGTAAATAAGCTGAACCTTCAAATGCTCATGTGTTTTAATTTTCACAGTTAGTTTATACATGGATAAGATATGGATTATCCATGTTTTTTTATTAAAAATTTGAGGGTAGTTTATCCATGGATGCGCTTAAATGCAAGTATAGATGAGTTACAGTATACAGGTACCTTTTAAAAGTATTACTGTATATACTTGCAGATAAGCCAAACTCAATTTTGGGGATGTGTTTTGGCACATAAAATTCTTGGCTTAATGCATGTATATATGGTAATTTGCTGTCTGCTGTTTTCTAACAAGTTTCTTGCTAAACTGTGGGAGCAGAGAGCAAAGGAAATGCAATTTACCTTGACAGTCTGGGAAATGGGGCAATATTAAACAGCGACAATAGCTTTCTTTCATCCCAGGTATTGGGTGTTCTTTTTTTCTAGGGAGCAACATACCGCTGGCCTGTGGTCATGATGCCATTCCAGGAATTTACTTACCATTTCCGATTAGCTAGGCCTGTGAGTATCAATGCTTGCCATGTCCTCTCTAGCATACATTTGTAAGGCATATCAGTTCTTGAGCGTGAAATAAAAATGGCAATGAAGTTGCCCTTTGGTAACAAATCTCCTTTTTGCATCGCATTAAGCTGGGCACTGAGCGAACGAGAGTTGGAAACTGCTGTTAAATGAGACAAATGAATGTCTGAATTATATCCATATGTAGCAATATGTACAAGGATGGCACAAGTATCCCATATTTAAACTCCCTCCTGATAAGTCCAGTATAGATAAGAAATGATTCTGTATCCATGGGAAGGAGAATGTCTAGATTTCATAGGCATGCTTATTTCATTTTAAGATTAATCTTCAGTAGAGAAAAATATGCTCCTAATTGAGAGACTTTAAGAACACTATGAAATTTCTTACCGCAGTATTGGGATTGCTCTTGTTGCACCAGTGCAGATTTTCTCAACCTGACAACTATTAGACATGTGGACTACAACTCCCAGAATTCCCCAGCCAGCATGGAATTCAAACACACATATTTTTAAGTTGCCATGGTTGAGAAACACTATTCTAGTGCAACACTATTCTAGTGCAACTCCCGTGTGAGCACAGGAGAGACTTGGAACTTTTAGACAGCAGATTTAAAAGTCTGGAGCTTGTTGGGGAAGTCAGATTTACTGACACGTTATCAGTATAAAGGCTTCTGTGCCTTGAAAACACACAGGAATTAGCCTTTCTTCATAAAATCGAAGAGTTCTAGTGAGTCAAGGGGACCTATTCAGAATATGAGCTCACTTTTTACTTTGACTCTAAGTTTGAACTCATTTACATTTCTTCCAAAAGAAGTAATAGTTTTGAGCTAGTGATCCGACCAACTCTCTATGGTTTGCTTCGGGTATGTTTGTTTCTGATAATGATGGCTATTTGCAATCTTTCATGATTCCCTTGTTTTTTCCCATTCCCTCCTCACAGGGCCAAGCTAACTGCAGTACCCCTGTGGAGCAGATGGGCTCTCTCTTTAATGACTACTATTTCCAGTTTTATTGGCTCTGTGAATGAGTCTCGGGAACACCTGCACACTTTTGATAGAAGCAGAAAAACGATGGGCTCCAAGACTCACTTGACTGAATACTCTCTTCAAAGAACACTACGCCCTGACTAGTTGCTTCTAATCGATAATCCCTTCCTTTGGGTCCGAGTTACTTTGGTTTCCTTCCTAGCAGATGGATGTTAATCTTAGAATGTCATATATTGGGAAGGAATAGTGCCACAAGCAAAACAAGGAAATACAGAGGCATTTTGTTTTCTTGATTTGCTGTAGGATGCTAGAATTCCTCTGGCCTCTCTGAGTACACTGGATTTTATAATTGTAGGCTTGACCATGCTTGTGTTCAGTCTATTTGGACATCTCAGAACTGAAAGATATGGCTTGACTGGAAACAAATCTTGGTGCCCAGAAAGTCAATGAAGCAGCTTTTTAATGCATATTTCTTACCAATGATGTTAGAAGTCCTATTCTAAAATGGAAACACTGGATCTGTCTGAAAAGGAATTCTATCTAGATGTGTTGCAAGTCGTACACTGGAATTTTCAACTTTTTAGCTGGCAGTCAGATGCTTCTCTTTAAAGCTATGCTTGGCAGAAATCCTGGTGACACTGGAATTCAGGGCTGATAGTTGTTTTCAATAGCAATAACCAATGGAAAAGCTATGGGGTTTACCTCTCACTTCTTCCTTCTTTTATCTTACTATAAATTTGTATTTGGCAGACAACAAACCTCAAGGACCCTGCAAAAGCCACTCTGAGGCAGGTCACATTTGCACCCAAAGTGCCTTCTTTTCAGGACTGGATGAAGATGCTTCTCAAGAAGATAGCTCTCTTCTTCAAATATACTTGAGAAAATAGCCCCTGGGCTCTGCAACTGGACTTCACAATGCTGGTATCGAAAAAGCATTGACTGAAACCTTTTAAATCCCACTATCTGTCACTGCCAAAAATACATTCATCCCAAAGAGAATATGGAAAAACTTATAAGTATTAACCCTTGTGCCAGAAACCAGGAAAAGGCGGCCACCAGAAGCAACGTACGCAAAAAATATCTACACTGATATTTTTTTTAATTCCCTAAGGGGTCACAGGGACTCTCTATGAGGTAACAAACAAAATACCTTTCTTCATTCTAGGCTTTGAATAGTCTTCATGTTTCAGGTAATTTACTGTTACAAGATTTTAATTTGCTAAACCACTTGTGGTGGGGTTTTCACCAAAAAAAGAAAAGAAGCAGCAGCCAACATTCAAGTCAATTATTGATTGCCTTGTCTCTCATAGGAAACCAAAGTGAAATCCACACTGACTGCCAACCTGAGCCAAGATTTTGAATTAGGTGCTGAGATAAGTCAGATGTATAAGCACAATGTCAAGGTATCAGCCTTTTGCGCTCAATTCAAAGACAAATGAGTTAGGTTGGTTCAGGCACTGGCCATTTCTTTCTAAAATAGTTAAAAGATGATTTATGTAGGGGCAACAACAGTTGCATCGAGAACAAGGAGGTAATCTAATGGGGAAAGTAAGAAACTGCTGGTTCAGCTCTCTCAACCAGAATGAAATTACTGTATAAAGAATATATGAAAAGAAGCCTTCCTGCCTCTGACATATTCCAGCCATCCAGCACTACAAGCTTTTAAATTGGATTACTGTAGTTAAAAATGACTAAAGTAGACCTTGGCTATTGGTATTTTTTAAGCATTGGTGTGTTTGCGAAAACATACAATAGAGTTGCCTGCATTCTTTGGTGGAACTGCCACATTATTAATTTATCTATTACCAGGTAGGCATACTTTTTAGGTTATTACCAGTGATGCATATTTGACACTGCATTGTAAATGCTAAAAATCGCACTTCTCAAGAGAAAAACGATAGCTAAAAATAGTTTTATGAGAACACTTCTAATAAATGTATTAATATGTATGCTAACCTAGCAGTTCGAAAGCATGCAAATTTGAATAAATAGGTACCATTTTAGTGGGAAGGTAACAGCAATCTGTGTCTCTCAGTCATGCTGGCCCCATGACCACGGAAATGCTGGCCCCCTCAGCTACCGTAGGAAACAGAGATGAGCACCACCCCCTAGAGTCGGACACAACTGGACAGGAGAAACTTTTACCTTTACCTTTAACCTGTTTTCACAAAATAATGTACTGGTCTAATTGTTCTTCAGGATGCTTTAAAGCAAATGGTACTTATGGATGCAATATAAAATTAATTCATTGTTAACGATTGACATCTTTCTTTGGGATGCTGTATGTGTTGCGTGACCAAAAATAGCTCCTAAAGAAAAACAGCAGTTAGGTATTACTATTCATTGGGGGCAGCGATAATACACTTGATGATATAGGGAGAAGACAAAAAAGTTTTAGTTAGGTCCACTCAGAGAAAATAGACATGTAAAGACTGGCATGGCTGTCATTACTAGTACTTGCCACCAGCTGGCAATGTTGCACAAGAAAGAATTAATGATCAGTTTTTGTATACAGATACAGTAAGAGCTCTAAGGAGCAAACAGTCATGAAGTAGGAAATCTTTAATACATACAGTATTTAATTTGGCACTTAATTTCAGATAACTAACATTAACTCAAACTGGAATTGTAATTTATTGATGTCATTACTATAGGTTTTAAACATTGAAGATAATATATATTTTAGGTAAGGCTCTCTGGCAAAAAAAAAAAAAATTAAACTGTAGTCCTGTACTCAACGTTCACTGATGAGTAGCAGAAAGAAATCAATTTGAGTTCAGCAAACTTCCATAAGGATGTACTGCTAAGCACTGCTTATTGAATGATTGCACTGATTGGCGTTTCAGTGCAGAATTGAGCTTCAGTTATTATGAAGACAGCTGTTGCCTGTACTTCTCTAGGCCATCCTTGGTAGCATTAGCTTCTCTCTTCACCCACTGTTCTGTTTTCCTCTTTCCCTCTACATTCTTTTTTTCTTCTTCTCTTCCTCCTCCTCAGTGCCTTAGTTTGGATATAATTGTAATAGAACCAATGTAAAGGAGAATAGAGGAAAATATTGTACATTTTAACATGATTTTGTTTGGAGTCTTTTTCCTCTAAACACACACTAGTGCTCATAATAACAAGAAAATGATGAACCCATGGGCCAGATAAAATCTTTCTTTTATGGTTATTCTTGGGATGCTGACCATTTAATCATGTAAGCATTTATCAGGGACCAGTATGAGATGAAACAAAATGCTTAAAAAACCATGGAGGGTTTGTTTTTTGGAACTATTCTTTTTAATTCATGATTTTGTCCATCCTTATTCATTTGCATTCAGCCATTGCTAAAATTTAATTCTTGTTTATCATTGATGAGTACAATTGTACTCATTTAGATCTGCTTCAAAGCAGATTTTATCTTTCTAGAACCAGCCATGCAAGTATCCAACACCCTTCCAGCTTCCTATTGTCTAAGCAATGAAATGCAAATCAAGATACACATTTACACCCCCTCACAATCCTGCTTACCACCTGCCTATTGGCCTGTCATGACCACGCTTCTGAAGGTAGTATAAGAACTGCTGTCATTCTAGAGGCTTGCATCAATCCTGGCATTTTTCCATGTCAGGGTTAAACTCTTCCAGCTTCCCACATAGTGGAATCTTCCAATGTTATTCCAGCCAAATGGAAAGAAGTCCTGCAATGGTGCCCGTTTAGTTAAAGAAGTGCAAGTAGTAACTCATAGAAATGGAAGAATTCCTTGTTCCTTTTGATTCCATCTTAGCTCTAGTATGGCTCTTCTCAGCAGCAAGGTGCCAAAATACTCTCTTATTACAAGTAGTAAGAAATCTTTAAACCCTTAGTTAAGAGCTATTCATTTAAAAACAATCTGATGAGGACATTCACATTTTCCTGACTATCCCTTTGCCTACTCCTCAGTACTGATATAAATAGCTAACTCACCACTGTTATCTATCCTGATCAAGGTGAGGCAGCAAAGACAAAATGACATCAGAAATAAAATGACCAATCACTTTCTTCTCCCAGTCGATCCAATGGAATTGGAGAGAAGGTATCTGTGTTTATATATAAGTATGCATGTATATATGTATGTGTGTGTATGCATACACACAAGCACACATATACATATATCAAATCTTTTTATTGGCAAATTCACATCAAAGTTTTCTCTGGTATGCATAATCTTTTATAACAAGTATTGCTCTTTATATTACAGGTTTCATTGTTTTATAATGCTGTAACACTGCGTCTATAATATCTCTATTGTCTCAAAATGCTTCAAAGTATCAAGTGTGGGGGAGAAAATTAGCCAAAAAATCATAGCAAATTAATAACCATCAACGTCTCAGTTATTAGCATAATCACATAAACTGGACCTTTTGACCATACAATCTTTACTCATCTTGTCTCGGAACATTCCTTCCCATTTGTGTTATTTACAGACTTCTGAAAAGCAAAATAGTGATTAACAACTGTATCTGTTCCTGTCTAATAGAGACAGGTTAAGAGATGGTGCTTCCTGCTTAGATGGTAGCTCACCTTTCTAAGAGCTAAAATTCTAACTGTGCCTCTTTAGACATTTGGAGGAACAGAAAGAAAAAACAAGGGTGGAAATGGAGCCAGCTTTTAAAGTTTGGCTATTCTGAAGGTTAGGAATGATTTCTCAAAAGGAAAATCCATACACTTTTTGTATTTTTATTATTGTTAAAGCTTAAAGCCTGTATATAAATATTTTATGCCATCACTGTGAGCCTTAAGGAATATAAAGCACTAATTGTTTTGTTTAAAAGTTGCTACCACAGCTTTAATCATTGTATATTGTCCACAATTTCAAAGTCATATACTTAGTGAATACTATGTTAATGTTTTATTATTATTTTAGTTTGGTGGAGAATAAGTGGTTGCTTTTTCTTCTACCACCTGCTTTTTCAATTTGTATTTATATTTTGTTCTTGTTTTTGGAGTTCTGGTGGTCAGGATTCCTCTACTTTTGTTTGCTTATCTAGAGCCTAATTCTTAAGAAATGTACCTGTATAAATAAATACCCAAGTATACTACTTTGTACCCAAGATTGGCTCATCACTTATTCTTCCACTTCAGTAGACTGAATTGTTACTTACAGTGCAATTAATTAAGGATGCAGATCAAGAAAAACAATTTGGTTTAGATATTGCACATAATATGCTACAGTAAATATTTGGAGATGACAGAATAATCATGTTTTAGATTAATATTCCTATCTGCAGTTTTTTATAAAAGAAATAAAAAATAATGCAAATGACCAGTTGCCTGCAAGGAATATAATTCTTCCATTGCTCACCATCTAGTCAGAGCTGAAAAAGCTGCTCGGATGAGAAGTGAAACATCTTCAAAGAAAAACAAAGTCCGGTTGCCTCTTGAAAAAGCACCTTTGGGACAACTATGACCTGAATGACTGTGTCATATTATTTCTCTCACATACACACACTCAATTCAAATGATCAAAGTACCTAATGTCCTCTACTTTCTGCACAACCACCACCCTGTGAAGTGGATTGGGAGAGAATGACTATCCCAAAGTCATCCAGGTGGCTTTTATGCCTAAGGGAAGCAAAGCCTAGAATTTTGGTTTCTAGGCCAATCCTTTAATCACTGCACAAATAAACTGATTCATTTATATGAGCTAAAAATGTGAAACTTCCTATTTGCTGTCTTTTCAAAATAAGATGCAGAAGAAATTAACAGTAATATAAGATAGCTATAACGTAGAGGTAAAATCAATGTCATTTGTGGACTTTGCAACTGAAGTAATGCATGTGACTATCAAAAAGATCATTAGGTGAACTACTATTTCCATGTTGTTCCCAAAAGGATCCTTTCGAGGTCAGTGAAATGAGGACCCTTATTGTTAGGGGCAATATGCTGACTCTGTAAACCACGTAGAGGGCTACAAATAAGTCGAAATGCAAGTGGTATTGTTTATTGTAGCAAAAATAAATTTGGCAGCACATTAAGGCCAAATACATTTGCCAAAATTATCCATTTAATCAGGTATAGGCCCACCATCAGAGCAGCGGAGCACTCTGGAATATGTAGGTCCATGCAAGTACATAAGTAATTGGTTAAAGCAGCAGCAGCTTTTCCTGAGATCATGTATAAGAAAGATCCAAATATTTCAAAAGAGCTGAAGATATACACTATATTTGTACTCCTAAATGTTTTCAAGCTTATTGTTAATATCTATCTCCCTAAAACGGAATGCACATAAGCATCACTCTAAATGTTACACATTTAGTCCATATATCTAAAAAACATATAGTGAATAGGATGCATCAATAAACTGTGAAATGGTCATCTCAGTTTCTCATTCTTGGCATTTTGCCTTGAGGTCAGATTTCAACAGCATGCCACTTAACTACTATGCACACCTAGGGAGAGATATCTATTTCTCCTACTGAGAATATATACAAACCCAAGGCTAAGTGTGATTGACCAGCCAGTGACAAATAAATGGATCTAAAGTGATAGCCAAAAAAAACCAAACCCCCAATACCTCAGAGTATAGCACAACATTCAGCTTATCACAGATTCAGCTTTATTGATCTGATGTTAGAATTCTCACATGTTAGAATTATAGTCCAGAACTGTGATAAGCCACACTGTTCAATAAAAAAGTAAAAAGGAGGTGCAGAAAGGCTTCTGGAACCTGAAATGGAGAAAAACAATTGGATATTATTTCTTTAAAGCTGTCCCTTATTGCTTTCCATGTCACTACACTGTGTTCACAATTATTAGGCAAGTGAGTATTTTGACCATACCATTTTATGCATATTTTCCACCTCCAAGCTGTATAAATCTGAATACTTATTGGATATAAGCATATCAGGTGATGTGTGTTTGTGTAATGAGGGAGAGTGTGGCCTGAGATCAACACCCTATATCAAGGTGTGCATAATTATTAAACAGCTTCTTTTCCTCAGGCAAAAAAGAGATTTAACTGACTCTGAAAAGTCAAAAATTGTAAAATGTTTTTTATAGAAATGCGGCATGCTTGAAATTGGTAAGATATTGGGGCGTGATCAGAAAAACCATCAAATGTTTTGCTGAAAATAGTCAACAGGGTTGCAAGAAACATGTTGGGGGAAAAAGATGCACATTAACTGCCAAAGATTTGAGAAGAATCAAACGTGAAGCTACCAGGAACCCATTATCCCCCAATGCTGTCATATTCCAGAACTGCAACCTACCTGGAATGCCCTTCTTAAATGGGAGAGTTAGTGAAAGAAAATAGTACACCTCTCTGAACAGTATCTGGGACATTGTGGTTGCTGCTGCACAAAAAGATGATCGTAAACAGATCGCGAAACTGACAGACTCCATGTCTGTTACTGAAAAGAAGGGTTGGTCCCTGATTTTTTTTTCAAATGTCAAGAATATTTATTTGTAAATTTTTAGGTGTTCATTATTGAAAATAAAATGAGATGAAAAAAATGTTTATTTCCCATTTAGGTCCATAATAATTCTGCACACTAATAGTTGCCTAATAATTCCACACACATCTAAGAAAGCTTTTACTTTCTTAAATATTCAAGTTTGACATTTATTAACCTTTTGGATTGACCAAGAGCACTGTAGTAGTTCAATAATAAAATTAATCTTCAACTATACAACTTGACTTAATAATTGTGCACACAGTGTATTCAAACAAGACAAATAACATGGGATCAAAGCATCAAAAGTCAGGTAGTACATTAATAAATACCCAGATAACAATATAGTGTTTCTATTGTGAATGGTTGATCTTATAACTTTTCATTCCTTTTTTTTAAATGTTAAATCGATTCAATCTATGTGACTCAATAACTCAGGACATGCAAACTGTACATAGATACGTGAATTCTTGGCTTAGAAAAGCATATTTGCCCAAATAATAACATATAATAAAGTTATTGTCTTCAAATCCGAATGGGCCACTAAACACTTAAGCTATCCTCTGCGGTGCAGGAATCTAATTAAGGCACGCAAGACAGATGCTTATCTAGTTTCCATTTGAAATATATTCAATGAACCTACTTAGCTCTCAGCGTATTTGATAAAAATGTATGGTAACTATGACTGCTGAAACAGGCTTGTCCTGTCAGAATCTGAGCAAGCACGCACAGGTTGTAGGAAACAAGTTTGGAAATTTACAGGCCAAGGGAACTTCAACTCCAGCAACCCAGAGCTTGGAAACAAAATGTATGCTGATGAGGTGGATGTTGTGAAAGGACAAAAATAGCAACATCTTCCTTCTTTTTCTCAACAATCCAGCCTTATTTTATTAGTTTTCTATTCCTATTCCTATTCAGGCATGGAAATCTAGCAATTGGTTGAAACTTGCTGGTGGAAAATGTGAATGTTCAGTTCCATAGAAATCAACAACTGAAAGCCACTGGCCACATCTGATCTGTTTTGACTAAAAAAAATCATCATGTATGCAATTTTGTTAAATATAACATGTGGTGCCTCCAATGGCAGGTAAGGTCACAACTTCCACCTGAAAAAGCTTTTGTGTAATAGTATGTCTGACTGGCAACTGCTCATCTACAGAAAAGACTACATGGCAAAATAGCAGTTACCACAGAAACATGATCAATGGTTTGATACTACAAGGATTTAAATTTAGGTTAGATATGTGGAGGAAGTTCCTGATGCTAAAGAGCTGTCAGTGGAATAGGCTGTCTCTGGAAGAGGTATACTGTATTCCTCTTCACCCAGAGTCCCAGTAGCAATCTTTCAAATGGTTTAGCACAGTGTTTTTCAACCACTGTGCCGCGGCACACTAGTGTGCCGTGACACAGTGTAAGGTGTGCCGTGGGAAAATTACTTTATATATAGCCAATATAGGCACAGAGTTAAATTTTTTAACATTTTCTAATGGTGGTGTGCCTTGTGATTTTTTTCATGAAAAAAGTGTGCCTTTGCACAAAAAGGTTGAAAAACACTGGTTTAGCAAATTGGGATCATACAACCTCGAGATGTTGCAACTGTCATAAATTCATGCTGCTTGACAATTTTGATATGGCTGATGGTCGCAAATATGAGGAACAGTCATAAATCACTTTGTTAGTGTTGTTGTAGTTTCAAATGATCGCTAAATGACTGGTTGTAAATTGAGGACTATTTGTATTTACCTTGCATCTTTAAACATGCTTTATTAAAGTTTCATCTCAGTTTGTTCTATACACTAATCAGATACTTATTGTGAAAAGGCCCCAGCATAACATTTAACATGTCTCACCTGAAATAGCTCCAAACTATGGTCACACATAGATTCCAACCCACAGCAATAAGAAGAGAACTCCAAAGCCCATGAAGAGTGATGCTACTAGAGAGATGAGTAGTTCTTTGTAAATGTCCCGGGTATACTTGGTGGATGTCACTTCATAACTGAGATAATTATTAAAGGTATAACCAGACAGGTTTACAGAAAACGTATCAATGTAAATTGGGAAAAAACCTCATATCCTATACATAATGGAATGACAACTGACTGTATAGAATAGATCACCTATCTTTAACATAGCTCATAATACAGAAATTAAGCAGACAGTCCTTTCCTTGCCAAAAACAGAGGAGACTAATTAATCACTTTCTTCACTTAAGTTAAATAGAATGGAATGAATTGAAGGAACAGAAGCAGTTTAGCAACTACTCCCAGCCTCAATTATTATGGTAATCATTGAGTAACAGAGCTGTTAGAAATATTTGTCACACCAATGCTATCCCACGTGCATTTGATAAAGTCATGTTTTCTTTATCAAAATTTCACAATTCTCATCATCTAAGTTTAAATGTTCATTAATTTTCTTAGTAAAGATTTTTTTACTACTAATTGCTTTCCAACCGCTGAGAAACAATCACATTTCTAATGACGTTTCATAATAATGCTTGTAATACAATTTTAAACTGAACATGTGACACAAATCCTGAATGTAATGTTTGTTGTTTCAAACTGTATGAAATAATTTTTTGTCTTTTGACTTTTGGCAATTATCTCAGCTCCTGACATAAAAGTATGTTATGCTATAAAATATTTATGTTCAGCAAAATAAGCATATTTCTGTGCTTAAAACAACAAGAAAACATGTGACCTTCATTTATGAGATCCTAATATTGAGTCATCTAGTAACTTTCTGGCAAACCAGAAATCTCAATGAATTTCATTTTCATCTAAGTGCTTTTCTAATGATGGAATCATGATCACCAACTTTAGGCAAGAGGAGAGTATCCCTGAATCCTGGTATATATTATAGTTAAGAGTTGTGACTTTTGGAGTGATTTTATGAAATTATTCTACATTATTCTACATGATAGAAATTATCTCAAATGTTCATTTCAGGATTATATCACCTGGTGTAACAGTTGATGGAAATCCAGTATTAAGAACTTACTTTGAGTGGAACATGACATACCTCTAGAATAGTGGCTGCCAACCTGTGGAGCATGGCCCACTACTGGGCCGCAGGCTAATTACCACCTGGTAATTACCAACTGGTGCACCTGCCTTAAAGACTTTTTTTTAGTGCATTTGTCAAGAACAGGGATCTTCAAACTTGGCAAATTTAAGATTTGTGGACTTCAAATCCCAGAATTCCTCAGCTAGTCATGCTGGCTCCAGAATTTTGGGAACTGAAGTTCCCAAGTCTTAAAGTTGCCAAGTTTGGAGATTGCTGGTCAAGAGCAAAACTATATTCAGATTTTTTCCAGTAAGCAGTTAAACTAAATAAAGGTATGGTACTCTCCACAGGACTGCTGACCATCTTATATATTTGCAAATAACCAAAACAGATTTCTGCAATAGTAAGGATACACAAAGAACCAAGCTGTGAAGAACATGCCAATGGCCAGGAGCACCACAGTGAGATGTGGAAACACAGCCGGATTCACCGGACTGGTGTATCTGCTCATTGTTTCAAGCTCCTGAAATAAAGAAAAAAGGGGGTGGGTGGGAAGTGAGACAAGTAAAAGAATACAAGACTATGACTACATAACTACTATTATGTATGTATGTATGTATGTATGTATGTATGTATGTACGTACGTATGTACGTACGTACACACACCTTATTGAAAGAACTACAGCGTGAGGCAAGGAACTATTTCTCTTTCCCCCTCCCCCCCATAGATGTTGAGAAGGATGGACACAACAGTGAGAGCCAGTGAAGCTGCGGTTTTTCCCAGCTGCGGCCCTTGGTGATTGGCGGCCCTTGTTCCGGAGTGCCTGTAACCATGAGAATGCCTTTCAGGGGGCCCTGTAGATGGATGTTGGTAAAACCGAATAGTTTAAACTGGGTTTTCTTATAACTTGGCCTATTTACATTACAATTATAGTTAATATAAGCGTTATCACATTATAGTTACTGTTATAACAGTAACTCATACTGTTATGAGTTCATGCGTTAATATTTACCATGTGTAACCTTTGTGTAACTGACATACTCTGTATTCATACACTGTGTTCAAAAATGCATATATATATATATATACACATACACATACATACATNTTCCATAGGGTTGGAGCGGCTACAGGGAAGGCCCTTCCCTGGGGGGCCGCCAGCCGACATTGTCTGGCTGACAGCACCTGGAGAAGGCCCACCCTGTGCGATCTTATCGGCCGTTGGGAGGTATGCGGCAGTAGGCGGTCTCACAGGCATTATATGTATGTTGTGCCATAATGTTAACACTTGGTAAAAACTTGCTGGCCTAGCGGATCTTTTAGTTGAAATATTTGCATAATAATAGGCTATGGTCCAGTAGCTCTCCAAACTAATGTGATTTCATGTTTTAAATAATCATTCTTACATTTGCTATACTTTGCTTTTTAAATTGTTTGGCAGAAATGATAGTTTTGCTTGGAATATAGAGGTGTTACCGTCCTGGACATTGTGTTTTATGTGATAAATCAAATTACCATATTTTTCAGACTACGAGGCACTGGAGTATAAGACGCATCAAGATTTTGAAGAGGTAAATGTTTTTAAAAAGTTTTTATACTTTGCAGGACTCCCAAACCTTCTGCGGTTTTTCACAAAAAATGAGGCATGCAGAGAGTTTGAAAGGCCTGCAAAGTGCTCCTGGGGGCTGGGCGAGCAAAAACGAGCAAAAAACAGCCCTTTTTTGCAACAAAATATGGCATGCATAGGCTTTGGGAGGCTTGTAGGGTGCTCCTGAGGGCTGGGTGGAAAATGAGCAAAAAACCAGCCCATTTTTTGCTCGTTTTTGCCCTCCCCAGCCCCCAGGAGCACTTTGCAGGCCTCAGAAACCCTCTGCGGATCCATTTTTGCAAAAACCAGGATGCACAAGGGCGGGTTTCAGGAAGCCAAAAATGCTGTATTCAGTGTATAAGACGCACCCAGATTTTCACCCTCTTTTTTGGGGGGGGAGTGTGTCTTATACTCCAAAAAAAACGGTAAGTGAAAATTTTATTATGATCATAGAGCAGCATAGAAGGGTGGTGTGCAGTCATTAAAAAGAACAAAGGATACATCAACAGTAAAAATAAAAAGCTAAAATATATAAAAATCTAAAAAATAGAAATGATACCTTAAAAACTAAATATATGGATAAAAAAATAGAATCTAAAATAAAGAAGAGGAACATTAGATGGCTGTATGGGAACATAAATAGTGTATAGAAGATGGCCTTCTAATATGGCAATGTTCAAAGTTGAGCACTTAAGACAGATCATTATCTGATAAGTTTTTTAGCATTGTTGCAAAGAACCTGGAAAAATTATATGTTGCAGCAGGATAGGTGTCTGAAAACAACAGAGTGGAGTACAATTGTCCTATGTGTTTTGGTTATTTATGTAGTAATGTGGTGCAATACCATTGTTCTATGTGCCCTGTATATTTATGTAGTAATGGGGTAGAGTACAATTGTCCTATGTGTTCATGTTATTTATGTAGTAATGTGGTGCAATACAATTGTCTTATGTGTTTTGGATATTTATGTTGTAATGGTGTAAAGAAGCTAGCGTGAATATCTCTGTAGAACAGGCACCCATCTTTTGTTGTTTCTATGTGTCCAGTATCATAGAGGAATTTGTTAGCCCTTCAAGGTAGACTAGGAAACCAAAGTCATGAATGCTAATACTATTAGTATTATAAATTTATAGTAACAGATTTATATTTGCAAGTCTGTGGAAGCAGCACAAAAGAGGTTGTCTTGCAGGAAGGAGCAGCATTTTTTAATGAGATGCTAGAGTACAAGGCACTGATGAATAGTGGATTGGCCTTCCCTAAAATGCTCTTCTCCCCTCAAGTATGTTTTCCTGTTCAAACCAGGCCTGGAATTTCCACTGTAAGTGTCTTGCAGAGAGCTTGTTGAGGAGGCTCATTGGTCTACAATGAGCATGCTGATGGATTTCTTGAAGCTACTTTTTCTCTAGTATATGACAGTAATAGTCCTGCACCACCTGCTTCTGAATGTCCTGTTGATGTTGCAGGACAGGCTGCTTGAATGCCAATGTGGCCAGTTTCTGTTGCAGTTTTAATCTCCTGATTGCCACAGAGGGTTTGCAATAAAGGACTTCTCACTTGCTTATCTGCTTTGTTGGATTTATAATGCCTACTGACCTGGATTATTTTCTTGTCTCTGGATGGCATCTTTACCCTTTAGGAATGAGCCAGAGAGGGGGAAACCAGCCACATCCTGGGAGGTTACTTCATGATCTGCTTGCTTGTTGCAATCTTGATTTTTCTAGGTCATAAAGAAATACTCAAAAGAACACAGTGTGACAGCTCTCTATTATTTAATGTTATTCGATGTTATTAAATGTTATTAACTAACAATAGGAATAATTAATTCCTACAGCATTACACCCACCCATATTTAGTTATGTAAAAAAATTTTGTTACAAACCCAGCCAGGTAATGCATGGGGTTGGGGAAGATAAGACTGCTCCACAAAGCATAGAACATAGAATAAGAATGTTGTAGGAAACCTTGGAAGTCTTCAATGCCAGGTCCCTGCTCGAACCTTATACCATTCCAGACACATGTCTTCTTCTTGAAAACCTCCAGTGATGAACCACCCACAACTCCATTTCTGGAGGTGAGGCGTTCCACTGATTAAGTTATAATTGTGTGCACAAATTGAAGTCTATCAACCAGATCTCTATCCAGTCTTCTTTTACCCTTTGATAGCTGTATTCCATCGCATGTCTTTGCATTGCTTCAACTGTTCTTTTGTTGACAATTGGGCTGCTGGATCAAATGCTTTGAATTGGCCTTCTCATATCTATTTGTAACAATAAATAAATTTGCCCCAAAGCTCTGCTTTTTGATACCAAAATCTATTACATTTCCTAGGTCAGATTGAGGACTTCAGTTAAGTCTCAGAAATCTTCATTTTATGAATAAAATTAGAAATAGGATAAAAACCATTTTATTATATATTGCATTATACCAATTTATTTTATTTATTTAGAATGTTTGAGGGTCATTTCAAACTTTTTAAAGGAACAGTACAGAAATGGTTAAAATAAACTAAATAAAAGACTACTGTTTGTGAAATTCTTTGTTTTTCTCTGATAATGCCATAGCTAAAGCTAATACTCAAAGTTATGAAGCAAGGGTTGTTGAGGACAGACAGTATCAAATGAAATAAAACAATAACTCAAATCAGATATGTGTCTTAATGTCCGATTAAAATAAGCTTTGTATCAAGCAAACAGCTAGGGTGATAGTAAATAGAGACAGCACAGATGGTTTTAACATAACTAAAGGAGTAAGAAAGGGATGCCCACTGTCACCTCTAATTTTTATCCTCTCAATAGAAACATTATTAGAGCGAATAAGACAAAAAAAAAAGAAAGGGAATTAAAATAATGAGGAATATAAGGCTTAGGCGTTCGCAGATGATTTGTTATTTTTCATAGAAATTCCAATCGACTCAGGAAAGATACTTTTGGAAGAAATAGAAGAATTTGGTAAGGTAGCGGGGCTCAAAATTAATAAGGCCGAGACAAAAATATTAGTTAAAAATCTTGCGGCAAATCAGAAAAATGAATTGGAGGAAACGACAGCAAATTGTTAAAAAAATTAAATACTTAGGGGTGAGTGGAGCTGCAGCTAGTGCAGCCAGAGCATGTTTGCAGTAGCACCTCCCAGTTTTATTTTATTTTATCTATTTTTAGTACTCCCATTGGATCCTTTTTTATTTAATTAACATTTTTCAGTGGTGATAACAGCGTAGACCATAACACAGGCAAAAGTTTTTGTTGCTGCCGAGGATTAAAAAGGCATGGGAAAAAGAAAGAAACACCATGGCACCAGCCTGGGATCTCTCCCNTAGTGCAAAACCATTTTGGGTTACCTATGATTTAGCATACAATTTGGAAAAAGCAAAATTTGGAGAGGCCCTAGAATTATTTTATGGAGTGAAGAGGGCAAAGTATACCACCTTGTACTCCTTGTCCAGCTGATCTGCCTTAAAATAAGTCTTGTCATTTATGGGGCAGCTCTACCACAGGTTTACTACTACTGAAGAGATTTCAGTCTAGCTTTAATAGACCTTTCTTTGCTTCTCATAGCGAGTAGGAGCATCTAGATGAACAGGAGAAAACATTCACTCTCTTCTGATGGTCACATTGAAGCCCATCATAGTGCAGTGTTTTACATGCTGCAATTCTCCATTGTTCAAGCTGTAAGTGCAAGAACTTCAACAATAGGCTTCTTTCAACACAGCTTCCATTGATGGAGTAAATCATGAGCTTGTCCCTCTTGCCATTTCTTTGAAATACATTAGAAGTCTAATATTTCTATGCCATTCTCCTAGAGAAATCTAGTTTACAATATAATAATTCCCCTCCAAAAAAATTCCTTAAAAAATAAACAACATTCAAAAAAAAGTAAAAAATATTCTAAGACTAAGCCACTTTTTTTGATTTGTTCAGGAAGAAGAAACTAGTGACTATGAATGTCAACTATTAA